TGTCTAGCGACACGTACGTTTCATATTCATGCGATCTTGTTATCATCTTTTCTATTGTACTTATAAGACACCATTGATCTCTTGGGCCAGTGCCATATTTTCTTATTGTTACAGTCTCACATACTCAATTCACTCGCACAAGAGCCTGCGAGGTATTTAGCTAGCTATGGACTCAGCCTTGCACCTCAGACGTTTGCCTTCGCACGCAACGACTGAGGTGAGATACTTACATTTTCACATATTCACCTTTACTTACTTCGAGTAGAGAGTCCATTTGTTACAGGTGAATATCACTAGATGTTTGCCTTCGCGCGCAACGACTGAGAGAGTCCGTTTGTTACAGACCCGCGCAAACTTGTATTAATTCTTTCACCTGATGCAACCCGACACATATCCGCCAAACCCGATGCTTTGACCAGCAGACCCGACATTTTCCCCACACACTTGTCCTATCCGTGTCTTGTCTTGTCAGCTAGCCCCACTAGGTGTGTAGTTGATTATTTCACACATTACTCACATCGTAGCCAGCACTATTACATGTTTTCCCATAGTCCGCAGCGCCTCATGTTTAATTACATGTACATCAGACCCAAAATTCTTCAGCCGCTACTTTCGCCTATAGGGTTCCGGATTTCTACGTACTTATATATATATTGGTTTCCACATAGCACATTCATCATCCAAGTAGTAGGGAGCTGTTTCCTGACACTTTGTGGTCACACCCGATAGGTCGTAGTTCTTAGTTGACATTGCGAATATTACCACTCTTTCTATCAGAAACACCCACCGTTATTGATAAATCCACATACCGCTGAAGGTACAACAATTCAGATGGTGAGTCTGAACAATATGTTGGGTCTTGCAGAACCTAGCTGCTATTCGACCCTAAAGGGTTTCTGGACTAGGCTCAAGGCTCAGAGGAGAGGAAATATCATAGAAACTTGCTCAGCACTCAGACTCATACTGGTAACTGGTGAAAAGATTGCTTGATTATGTAAGCTACAAAAGTGCCAACATAAGGTAAGGTAAAACAGTCTCTACAAGCCCAACCAGAAATGAATCCCTACACCGCTCACTATATCCGATGTTCTTTTCCTAAACCCAACACAAACCCGCCAAACCCACACTTGAAACCCGCTAACCTGCTAAACCCAAAAACATCGGCCAACGCTTCAGCATCGGACTCGTAATTACCTTCAGATTCCATTTCTCGTGCTCGGACTTTTGACAGTTTATCAATTGACTAAATATAGACTTATTCCAACAGTGAACCCCTCAGGTCGAACACACTTGTCTAGCAAGTATAGCAGACTAGACTGTGCAAGACCACTACAACATTTTTATATTGCTGACACTTACTTCATATAGTACCAAGCATTGTTGTATCTTTACACTGCTATAGCCCTCGCCACGAATAATAAGTTCCACTCCTGTATGAAACACATCAATCTACAATACCATTTTGTCAGGTTCCACATTCAGCATGGCACCTTCACCCTTGTATATTGCCCTACAGATGATAATGTTGCCGATGCCCTGACTGAACCACTACCATGTCCATGCCTGGAGAGGCTGTGAGGTGTGATGAAGCTGGAATGTGCTCAAGGAGGAGTGTAGAGAGGCCCATCAGACAAGTGCTATCAGATATGAATGCATCGTTTGTCAGACGTTTGCTCGTCATTGGCCGAACACCATGTCTAAAGGTCTCAGATAAATTTTCATTCATTCCTGCTTTACCCACATATAAAATGGTCCTTCATAGAATTAGGCATCTCAGTCTTCCTCCCAGATACTGAGATGTAAGTGCAAATACCTTCATATAACATACCAGCTACTAACAAAGACTTAGTATACATTTGTTCTAGGTACTTATAACACCTGGAGTCTTCCTCCCAGATACTGAGATTATATATTTGTTCTAGTTGTCCTTCTCCCCACATGTCTGCATCTCTGAAGTCAACAACAACTAGGATTGCCAGCATACATGTATGCATACAGATGGAGAATCAAGCATACCTAGTATGAATGTCTTGGTAAGGGCAGCCTAGGATGTATTGTAACCATTTAAGGTTTCTATGGGATGTGACGGACTGTTGGCCTATGTCTTGATCATCTCGAACACTCACAAATCACGAAATTTGATCTTAGGTTCTGGGTCCAGAGTTAGCATAAATTTGGAATGTCATGGCAGGTACCACAGCAGTCACAGCAGTGGCGCAGCATTTTCCTTGTGCCCCAGAACATCACCTACTTGCAATATCAATCATTTCATACCTAGGGCTGGCCACCATAGACTGTATTATGGGGATGTACAGTAACATAATATGGGTGCTGTACCCGTACCATCGGGGCTTTAGAGCTCTCATTGACGGTTATGGTGTACGGTCATTTGAGTACCATATGACACCGTAAGTTTACAGCCATATGTACTGTCATACAGGACATATGGTCACTCAACCCACAAACTACAATGCATGCTTGGTCTGCTTCATTGTTAGCTGTTTTGCCATCAAACATCAGCTAACATCACATCCAGGTGGATTTGGAACAGGGGTAACTCTGATCTCAATCCTCACCAACAAACTTTTGTACTGAAGTATTGGTGACAGTCAACTTTCTCATATTGATTCTCTTGGATTATGTCACTTCCTCCTTGACCTCCTTCCTGAATTATCCACAGAGCCTCACTTCCTCATGTCAGGCAAAAGGGACAGTGCATGTTCACTAGCGAACATGATGGTGGAATGGTCTGCAGAAGGCAGAGCTCCAGGGATCTTTGCTCTTCAAGCTACACTACATTCATATCATTTCCTTCATTCTCCGGTTCATGGCATCCCATCACAGATATCTACAAAATGGCAACATCGTCGGAGTTTGTACCTTCATTTCACAGTTTATTGCACAAGTGATTTCATCTTGACTGAATCTGCTTTCGCCTGCTGTCTTGGCATGTCGACATGCAAATGGGGAGAAGAATAAAGTGATACACAAGAGCTGGGTAAGGCTTTGCGGAACATACCAAGCTAAAGGTGGTGTCTTAGTGACCAAGGAGGCTCGGGCGGTAAGTGAAATAACTATTGCTTGTTTGATTTTCTAAAAACAAACTGTATTGTTTAGACACAGCAACATTGTGCTTTGCAATTCCTCCACCATGCACTTAGCCTGATAATCATTTGGGAGCTATGATCTCCTCTATACTACTGGGCAATGGGGTGCTGGGAGGAAGGGCCATTGTTGTACTACATAGTTAGTATTGTAATTCAATGTTTTCTACATCTCCCGTACGACCATATAAGCTGGTTGTATGACCATACAGTGACCCGTACCATACTGTTGAACATTTCGAATGCATTGTACGACTTACGGTATGGTATGGGTAGTACCCATAAACCCACCATAAATTGTACGGCCATAACCATATATGGTTACAGTGACCAGCCCTATTCATACCTTGGAAATGTCAGAAATTCCTAATTTAGATTTCAACGCCTTGTAAGGCATTTCAAGGTTCAAAGGCAAAATGGTCTTTGAAATGGGTTTGAATAATAGAGTCGTACTTAAAATTGCCATAGAAATGTAGTTAAAATGGCATTGCAACAGATTGCAACGGGCCTTGCATGGTACGGCACGTTGCAACTTGGTTGCCATATTATTGCAATATAAGTCGAATAAGGCCACATGCGTGGCAAAGCCCGCTACCGTACTCCTTTCGCACGCCTTTATATTCTGCTGAAAATAATATCTATTCTGCTGTGCTATCGCTGCGTACTAGCTTATATAAGTACGTACCGCCACGGATAAGGTCATTCGCGCGCTATAATCCCATACATCATGTGATATATGGGTCACGTGCCAGTCGTTGATCTTGAGCTTGAGTCTCGGTCTTTCTTTTTTCAACTCGGTGTAGAACGGTTCAACCTGGTTGGGAAGTCCTAGTATTATCCGCATCCCTCAACTAGGGAATATATTCCACCCTTTTACTTCAATATCATCCTTGCTCAAAAATTCTGCCGGTGAGGGCAAAATTACCGTATCTGATGCCATGGTAGCCAAATGCCTGTCAGACATCTACCGGTGATGGTAACTCAGTTTTCATTTGATTTCACTTCTGCGGGGGAGAGTCCTGCTATGGCTGGAGGTCTCCGTGCGTTCTCTGTGATCCCGTAGAAGTCTGTACTACACATATCTTTTTTTTTTTTTTGCTTTTTCCTTCATTTCGTGTCCATTTCATTTCACTTTGGCGGGTGAGAGCTCTGCTATGGCTGGAGGTCTCCGTGCGTTCTCTATGATCCCTGCCGAATTCTGTATTGTAAATTATTATTGATTTCGTTGTTCCTTTTTTCTTTAATTCACGTACTTCGCTGCCTCTCCAACTAAACTCGTCAACCTCTGCTGTGAGAATCATGTAACTATCTCCTTCCCTTATCATCCTTCTCGTCATCTGACCGGACTGGCTCGCGCAGAATGATTCGACGGATTATGTTCGCTCCAGGACTTCCCTACTTCCTCGCCATGTCTAGCATGACATCTGGCAAATTAGTGAAGACATTTCCAAAGTATCTGCTTCCCTTGCACCTGCTCCAACACTCTCTTTATTTGGCGCTTCCCGCGTCAGAGGGAACCACCTTATCAACGTCTTTTCTGAAGTATTTGCAAATCTTAACAATAGATTGCGAAGATGGTCAATCCAAGCAGGCGACAGTCTGCTCGTTGTGCATCCGTTAACTGCGAATGGCAATGAACTGGGACGCAGACCTCCTGGCATCCAGGGTTGGGCAGTTCGCGTGTGGCCTGACTGCCTCCGTTCTCAAGGCAAGTTCTAGTGTTGAATGTTTACTACTCAACTAACAATTATTGATACTAGATTACTCATGTCCTCGGATCTTCTGTCGTGTTGGTGGATGTGGTCACCGAATTTCTGGATGTGCATTCCAATGAACCCTCAGAGCATGTACTGTCCGTTGTAAGAACCACTCACCACGTCTCACCATTGTCTATACTCATCCCAGACGTAGCATGAACTCGTAGCTGGAGGGCGTTACGGGCCCATCTTGATGACTCGCAATGGCTTGTGGAGATATCGCATGGGTGATGTTGTCACCGTTCAAGCCTTCGCTCCAGATGACGCATTGCCCGTTATCAGTTACCTTCACAAGCGAGAGTGAGTTACCGCATCATTGATTGCAGGAGCTGAGCTAACTTTGCCCGGTTTGGAAGAGGTGGAAACATAATCTTCAGGAGCGTCATTCGTGATGCTAGGTGGGAATGCATTATAATGCTGCCGCGGAGAGCCTTCTACTGACGCCGTCCAGTGTAGCCTCCTCCTTTCCATCTCACGCCGGGGCTCTATGGTAACAAAGGATGTGTACTGGCTCGCAAGCTGGTACTCGAGTCCTAATTGGACAATTGCCATCTCTCGAACTTCCTCATTCATGGTAGGCGCCACAGGCCTTAAAAGTGGTATTCTACCCTCTTCCAGGTGCTTAATGAGTTCTTGTGCAGCCAAAGTATGAAGGAGTGGAGTTTTATCCTCGAACGGTTGATTAACTACTGTGACTGGTACCTGGAGACAAAGTATGCCCATCCGAAAACATGCGACATGGTTACCGATCCATAGGGTGTATAGCTTCAATGCCCCGGTGGCCCGAACCACGCCAATCAACCACGACACTCTCGATTACGCCCATCCGAAAACATGCGACATGGTCACCGATCCAGAGGGTGTATAGCTTCAATGCCCTGGTGGCCCGAACCACGCCAATCAACCATGACACTCTCGATTACGCCCGTCCGACCAGCGGTCAGAAGCTTTGCACACTTTCTAATCCTCCAATCTAACATTCACCTCCGCTCGAGCGAGCGAGGCGCTCGCACGCGGCCGATGCGACATGGTCACCGATCCAGAGGGTGTATAGCTTCAATGGCGCGTTTGGCCTGCAGCTATCGACAACCGCTGAGACAACCTCGAATGGATCGGGGTTTGTGGATGACTGTCTCATCGTTAGTTTGGGTAGAGCCTCAGGCGACATCAGACGCACATTCGAGTCGGACGACGGTTCAAGTGTTTGACTCTGGATAAGATTTGTGTGACCACTCTATGACACCGCGCAAACATCCCTTCTTTCAGAAGGTGCTTCACTCCAGGATGTACGCCACCACTAGTAAGGGCAAATCTCGTTCCGCTACTGTTGGCTTGTATGGCTTGTACATTCAAGATCTGCACAATTAACTCAATGTCTAGTTGAAGCTAGAAATTCAGTTTACAAGGTCGCCAGCGAGCTGTTGTGTCCGTCACTACACCGTGATTCAGGATTTGAAGAGTATTTCACTCTCGACTTCTAAAGTTCAAACAGACTTCGGACTGACTCGACTGCATCTTCGCTACTTAAAGAATATGGCATCAGACTCTGAAGAGCTTGACATTGTCCTTTCGCCACCTACTCATGATAACTTGTATAATTAATGTTACTGGCAACCTATCTCGCCTACAGAGGAATTTCCATAACATTTTGGTGCTGGGATTATTTTCAATATGAACGATCATATCAGACGAATGAGATTTCTGTCTTACCAAAAAATCGATAACAATGGACTTGATATGCAATTTATATATCTTCCGTGAGAGAGTATTGCGAGGAAGACGTAGACGATTTTCGAGTCTGGTTCGAATCATGCGCAAAGTGAGGTGTCTAAAAAACTTAGAAATATATGATGCGATGTCATTGTTGAGACATAACTCACCTCCACTCATCGTGAGCAAAGGCGTCATAAAGCAGATCAAATGCTGCTTGTTGCACGAGAAAAACACTGGGTTCAGCACAGATGTGGGACATCGTGTCACAAATAATTGATATACCAACGGACTCATAACTACATGGATATTTAAACAAAAATAGTACCAAATGAAACCGATTTCGAATTATGAAAATCAACGACTCAAAGGAGTATAAAATACATAAGGAGAGAATTCGCGATCTTGTTCACGACAATGAAAACCTCCTAACAGCCATCCATACATCTCTTTCACTCCACATGGCGTAAGATCAGAAGAAGATATAGGAGAAGAAAAGGAAACATTGAGACATGCGCTATCAAATGAAGTGCGAGCACGAAGGGGACATTCAAATGTCTGAGCGCATGTGTGATTCTCCGTGCATGTCCATGCGAGCCCAGAGGATGCGAATTCAAAGCCGCGATTGGCATATTTAATCAACGCACGCATTGTACGTGGAGGAAGCATGTGATGACGCGTACATGCCATAGGATTGATGAGGCCTTTGAATTGCAAGGTGAGAGCAGGATAGGCAGAGAAAATAGTTGTCGGTGTGAAGTAGTTCATAACAACCGAACTGTGGAACTGAAATATGGGAAGAATAGGGCGACCATCGCAAGATAAAACAATGTCGATTTTTCGACTGCCCTGGACTGCAGCAACTACACTCCGTACTTTTTTGCTTCCATATTTCGTTTTAGGAGGCGGGTATGGAATAATGTCATACCCAAACCGATGGAAGAATTCGGTGGCTGAAGGCCCGGATGATAAGGGAATGTATAGATCCAGGTCAGACATGGGCCATGTGGTATCCGCGACGGCAAGAATAAGTCTCAATGCGGAAGAACCGGATATAACAGCATTGGAAGTTTGCATGAATTTCATGAATGCTGGAACATCGGAGATGAAATAGCGGAGAATACGATCTCGTCGACGTTGGAGGAAAGAATCTGTAAGAGTTGCATTATGGTGGCAAGTGGCACGCAAGGCGACGATGTTTTGAATGTCGAAGAAACACAATACCATATCTATCACCTCTGGAGGTAAGATAGAGAATGGTTGGATGGTGATGCATACGATTGGTGAAGACATAATATGATTCTGCACGGAATGATAGTTAAATTCATTATAGAGGATGGATCTGAGAGAAGAATAACTATACCTGATATAAATAAAGATAGCGTCAGTGATAGTCGAGTAGAACACACAAAGAAGCACCAAAGTACTTCAGCAATCAGATTTCAGAATGATGGACTTCAACAAATGTATGAGACCTTACCACATGCGATTTATATACCAACGATATCTATCTGCCAAAGATGCATAGGTGAGAAATGAAATCGGGGGCTAAGAAAAGGAGAACATCACCTTGAACTCCACTGAAACTCCTTGGAAATTGAAACTAATCGAATAGGAGATGAGCGACGGATTTTATAAAAGGGCACTCCTAAATCGACAGGAGTCGGAATGAGAAAGACCTTATTCTCACTTGTCACTATCATGCAAGACGACAGAAAAAGTTATGGCTACCGAAATTTGAACGATTGTAAGCATCATTTCATAAGAAGAAGACGGTAACTCATCGGTTTTTGATAGTGCTCCACACTGGCGAGCTCGGAGAACAGATCTGTCTATATTTGGATTTCGAAAACTTGCACTACTTGTCTCAGATGTGTATGGACTCTCGGGCATTCGTGGCCGGGGTACATCGCAGACAATATCTCAAAATCTTGAGACGATACAGTCCAGAACATGTTTGGGAACTATGCAACTGCATCCATGAAGGGAATGGAGTAGTT